AGGAAACATCGATGTAAGACCTTTTCCTTAAAAAGTAATAATAAAGAAAATTAAGGAACTGTCAGTATAAACTGTAAACTTCAGTCAACAACTGCGTTAGAAAGCGTGAAAAGTATGGCTTTACTCCAAGTGCCCAATATTTAAAATAATCCAGAAAATGAGTGTTAGATATAAGATGCAATTTTGTTCCATATGGTCAAATGTAGCACAGTAGAACATTCCTAAAATGATATAACCTTAAGAAAAGTTTATAATATTAGATTCTGCCCTGAATACATACTCAGATCATTATAAAAGATAACAGTGGAATATGCTTGACAATTAATTTTTGTAGAACAGCTGTAGGTTTGAACATATATAAGCTAATTTTAATGTAAGTATTAACATCTTTATAAAGCAGTATCTCTCAAAAGGGTGAAATCAAGCAGCAAGTGCCAACAAGGTTGCAGGTAACAGAACATTTTTTTGGATCATTTGCTTCATTTATGTTTTGGGCACTTACAAATTACACACAGATATCCAACAGCAGCAGAACACTGTAAAATAAAGCAAAAACTTGTTGCTATTTTTAATATGTTCAATTTTCTTAATAACTGGCTTGAAATAATATAAATACGACACCACTTTAAAGCACTGCAATGTTTAAGGCACTCTCATTCAATTTATTATCTAAAATGTGCACCTTGCATAGTCATTAATCTAAGGTGGTTCTAATCACAAGGCTTCAGAGAATATTTAGAGCATAATTCCTTACATCCCTAGTATTTCTTAAAAGGGGGTAGTCTACCTTCTATCCTTGGTCAAGAGGGGAAAAGAGAGAAAGACAGAAGGAGGGACTTCTCTGTAGAAAGATCTGGCCTTGGAGTCAGGGTTTCTGAGATGCGCTAGTGATCTTGGATCGATGCCTTTTTATTTTCTTTCAGGAATAAATCTGCACAATGGAATGGGTTGCAATTGTCCAGCCAACCAGCCATATCAGATTTATCAGAAAGAAAGAATGAAAACTGGCTCAGAGGACTCCTGCAGTGGCTGAGTGGCAGGTTGCTGGGAAAGGCACACACACAAAAAGAATACACTTGGTGGTGGAGGGGAAAATATATACATATTCACATGTGTAAACTCAATAAATAATAAGATGTAAAGAAAGAATCTACAGTAATGGAAAGGGTGAATGCATAAGACAGATGATAAATAGTACCTCTATTTAAGAACTAAAGGCATGAAAGCTCATGAATACTAAATATTTGAATCCACTTTAAGAAGGAAATATGATTTTTCCCTCAAATGAATGCAAACTCTAAAAATCAGTCAATGCAAACTTAGTGTGTTCAGGTTAGTGTAAAAAATACATAAATCTTCCATGAAGTGCATGCCCTGGTAAATATTCTAATGTAATTTCTTAATTAAGACACATTTCCCATGACTAAATGAAAAAATATATAAAGCACTAAGTACTGATTTTTTTAAATTGATTTTCTATGCACAAATGATTAGAATAAAAGCAGTTTAGTTTAAACGGGAAAAAAATCAGAAGATGAGGAATCATGACACAACCAGTCATTCAATTTTATCCTAACAGTCCATATTATAGTATTTTCAACTTATTTGCAGTTATAATAGGTATAAATTGGTTTAGAAACATTCTGCAGAAAAAGTACCTTCTTCTAAAATGATTCCTTTTACATAATAAGAATTTCAAAGCTAAAAGAAAAAAAAAAATAAAACAAAACAGTATATCCCGTGGGTGTGCTTACAGTAAGCACGTGTAGGAAAGATTTTTTTTCCTGTATTTATGTATTTGTATTTAACATGTATTTAAGATCTTTTTCATCATTTATCTAAGTTTTATTAACTTTTTTCTTCTCAAATGTATAAAAACTGACCTTAAGTTTGAAGATCTATCTTAAATATATAGGGAAAAAAACCTGTGTTATTTTATAGTATGAAAAGCAGAAATAAGTTACTTGCAAATAAGAAATGGAAACTGAACTTGTTTATCCCATATCTATTGAGGTATGTAAGAGCACTGCTTCAATATTATATATTGTATTTCAATACAAAGGTAGATACTATTTTTTTAATCATGCCAGGAAAAGATAATTTTTGAAATTATCTCTTTTGGTGGTAAAGGCTTTATAATAGTCATATAAATGGCCTTTGGCTATATATACTATTTCGAGATAAAATGAATTACTGGAAATGAGACAAAATTCTTAAGACATTTAAGAATTGTCTTCTCTAAAGCTTTTTTCCCCAAGCAAGAGGAGAAAAAAAATAAAAACAGATCCTTTTCCATTACAATTGTTTTAATAAATATCTTAGATCTATACAACGGAATCGTCCCCCCACCCGTATCTTTATTCTGTTCACATAGAGCAGTAAATAAGGTGCATTCCTTCTGCTTAAGAAATTAGCATTTCAAAAATATGCCACTTTCCCCTGAACTCCAAGCGTGTCTAATAATGCGAGAAGCAGATTGTCTTCCCTCGTTTCCTTAATTTGTTTCATCTAAAAGCAATTCACTCAACATCTTGTCGCCCTCTGGCAGCTTAGTTTACTTATCCGCACTTAATTTCTCATTTGGACCAAAACAAACTCCTCCAAACTGCTACTGACTGCTAACCGCGAGAGGGGAGACACGCAATATGTATTTACTTGGGAACACAGAGCCTCGCACACACAGCCACAAACACACAGAGCCTCACTCACACTCCAGACAGTAACTTGGTTTTGCAAAAGCACTATATTAAAACCAGCTGAACTTTCCTTGCCAGGTGCGGCTGGGTGGGGGTGGGATAGGGTGAAAAAAAGAAGTCCCCGGGGGCATTTGCAGTTTCCAGTGGATCACCTTAGCATGCGTGTTGCAATTATACTAGGGATGCACCCGAGAGCTTTTCTTTGTGCGGCCCTTTCATCTAAATCACTTTGTGTTTTGAACAAGTGAGACTCGCCTTTGTGCCCCTAGAATTTCAAGTACAGAGTCACACACGGAACAACAATGGCACGCTAATCCTCGCGTTCTAAATGGGCTCACTTGTGGGTCTGACAATTCGCGGGGGGAAGCGAGAAGAGACCAGCGAGGGCGCGAGGCGGTGTCGCCTGAGACGAGGAAGAGGACAGCTGCAGAACTAATTTGGATTACATTCTTTGCAGAAATTCTGAAAAGGGCTTTTCGGCATAGCTCAACCCTGAGCCACACAGTTGATACCAAATTGCTGCGGACTCGGAGCCGGGTCCTCCAGTGGCTGAGGCTGAACCAGACAGCCCCCAGTAGGTTGCCTCGTAGAAATTCCTCTCGGCTAAGTCTGCAAGTCGGTAGCAAATGCTTTTGAATGGGTCAATGTGCATAATCAACCCATTGAGGGAAAATATGAAGGGACTCGTAGTGGGGAGGGAGATAAAAAGGGATGTATCTAAGAGGCCGCTTGGAATCTCAAGTCCGTGTTGGTGTAATTCCGGAGGTGGCTGGAGCGCGGGACCTGGTATGCATGAAGAATTTCGGAGTATTTGGGAGGGTGCAAAAGGCTAGTACAAACGGCGCACACTGGTGGCATTCGAAGGTCATTTTAAAAGGCTCGATGATTGTAACTTGTTATTTACTAGGCTAGGAGGGGTAGGCGGCGGGGGCGGAGCGGGAAAAACCACAGCGCGTTGTTTTCTTGGTGAGGTCAGAAGGACACCCTCCGGGGGCCTGAAACTCTCCTATCGCCACTCTCGGGGGCTTTATCTCCTCTAGCTGCCTCCCACGCTCCCGCGACCAGCCCCGGATGGTTCCGGAAATCTCCCCCGCTCTCCAAAAGGCCACCTTTGGCTGCATCAGACACCGGTCCTCAGCCCTTTCCTGTCCCACTTTCATCCCCGGGAAACTCAAGTGTCAGAAACTTTGAGCAACCTCGCACTGCAGGTGCTGTCGTTAGCCCGGCCCGCCGCGGTGCGCCAGCCCCACCCGGCTGCCTCTCGGGGGTCAATTAGCCTTCTGCATGTCCGGGTACCTGGGGCTCAAGCTTTCCTGCAAACAGTGGCAGCGCAGTCGCGCCCGCCTCGGGTTAAATCAATCGCGCAACGGGTCGGCTCGGCAGCCGCGCTGGGCAGTAAACAGAGAAGTTGGAGGGACTCCGGCCAATAGCAAGTTGAACTACAGGAAGAACTCTTCCTGAAGCCAAACAGCAACCGACGGGAAGGCCGGGCTCCCGGCTCAAGTATGTCAACCCCCCTCCCCCGACCTTTTTTTTTTTTTTTTTTTTTTTTTTTTAAAGAGAGCACGCAGGCAAGCAAGCTCCCTCAAGTCAATGGGGCGAAGGCTCCGGGACGCCGGCGTAGGAGGCCCGGAGTTCTGTGCCCTCCGGCCGAGGCGCGCGCCCTCCTGCCGCGCTCCAGCTGCCCAGGCTGGGCTCAAGTCGAGGCTGACCCCGCAAGCTCCGGCGACAGGGGACGCAGCGGCCTCCGGCAGCGCACACAGGTGCAAAGCCCCGCTCTCGGAGCTCCACGCCCCACAGCCCTCCCGCTCTCAAGAGGCCCAGCTGACACTGCCCGGGACTTCAGCCCTTTCGAAGCCCGGGCGGCGAGCGCTTCTTGGAAGCTTTTACTCTCGGGGCCCAGACGGCCAGAGGACCGTCTCCTCTAACTCGGGAATTGTGTCTCCCATGTCCCACACAACAGGCAGGGCCAGAAGGGATCCCGCTTAGGCTCACAGAAAACATGCGAGAAAGAAAGAAAAAAAAAGGGGGGTGGGGGGTTGAGGAGGAAGAGAAAAGGGGCAGGGTCGCAGAGTGATATATCACGGTAAATTAAACACAGGTACACAAAAAGGTTAAGTTTGGGGATAGAAAGAGGGATGAATGGAAGCCCAAGGAAGAGGCCCGGGTGGCGTGCTCCCTCCACGCCTGGGAGCCAGAGGGTCTCTGTTTGGGCGAAGGGGGCGAGGGAGCCTCCCGGGCGCAGCCAAGGCGGCGGCAGCAGGTTCAACAACTGAGCGCGAGAAGGAACCGCGCGCGACCCACCTGACTGAGAAGCGTTGGGCTGGACGGTCCCCGCTGCCAGGAGAAGGCTCACCCAGACCCACAGTCCTGTCGCCAGCTTCATTTTTTGGAAGTCTCAGATCCCGTGCTGACAATTACATGTCCAAATGGCATATCCCCTTTCGGGCACGCGGAGGAGATCCCTCAGCCAGGCGCGCTTGGGGGCGCGAGGGGCACAGGCGCGCGACTTGCGCGGTGCACCCGCTCCAAGCAGGGGCGACCGAGTCAGCGCCCGCGGGTCCAGGGCCGGGGACCGGAGGAGGGGGTGAGTGTGCGCGCTGGTGTGCGCGTGTGGGAGTGTGCTCGAGTGTGTGCGCCTGGTGCTCCGGGCCGGACTGTGCAGCTATGCTCCTGTGTGAGCCTTTGCTTTCTCGCTCCCTCCTCACTTTCTCTCACTGGTTGGTCAACAATAAAAAGGAAGGGGGAAAAAGGTTTCCAAAAAAAGTTGATTGCAAAGAGGCGGTAGGTTTCCGGCCTCTCCCCCCTGCCGGGCTATGTTCGGCTCCCTTTTCAGTTTCCTTGCACCTCCAGTCCAAATTGGGAGGGAATGGGAGGGCGGTGGGGGGGAAGCTTCTCGCTTCTCCCCCGATCCTGTCCTTCTTTTTCCTGTCAGCTTTCCTCACACTTGTCCGGCGGCTGCGGTAATTAAAGCTCCGAGCGTCATTTCCAACGCTCCGCGGTCTCCAGCTGCAGCCCCACAGAGAAATTAATAAGACTCCGGGACGGGGAAAAAAAAAAAAAAAAAAAGGGGGGGGGGGGGCGGATAAAACAACCCTCCACGCAACCAGGCTGGCTCTGCTCAGCCGCGAAAACCCCGCCCCCGCTCTGACCCAACTAGTCCCGCCTTTTCCCCCGCCCCCCCCCTAAAGGGAAATCTTATTGGCTCAGATACTCCCCAAAATTCTCAGTCTCAGGAGTTGGGAAAACACCTGTCTGGGAGCGGGCGCGTGCTGGTGGGGGCCGGGGGAAGGGGGATTTAAAGGGCTCACCCGAGACAACAGACTGAAACGGAGGCCCGAGACAGCTGGTCTGCGGAGTGTGGAGACCACCAGAGAGTGGCTTATGGGTGTATATATATACGTGTGTGTGTGTGTGTGTGTGTGTATTTTTTTTTTTTACAAGAAAATCATCATTCTCTCTATTGTCCCACCGTGTTCATCCACAGACTGGACCTAGAAATAGAAGAAAAGAAAACGTTGCTTCAAGCATAAGGCCTTCACCCTTCTCTAACCTTTCCTGAGCTCCACACTCAAAATAATTTACCGGTTTAGCAACCGGTAGCCTCTTTTGGTTAGGTGGTCCTGGGAATATAATCACCTGTTTTCCCAACTATGCCATCTCGCCCATCATTCTCACCCTCCCAAACTGACCACATTTGCATAGCTACATCCTTTGATTTTCAGACTTTGTAAGTCTTTTCACCTTTTCTTTGGACTCGAGGATAACTTGGTTTGGGGGTCATTGCCATTGAGCAGATTCTCGTCCAAAGCTATGAATGTGGTTCTACAGACCTAGAAACTGTCCCACTCCTCAGCTGTTCAATGTGTTCAACTGAAGGCCATGCCAGGACATAATCAACAAATATGATTAGGCTTATTCTACAGTGGACCCAACTTTAGGCCCTTTCTGTATTGTTACTCGGCAAGTCCACACTCCCCAAAACCCAGTTTATTCCTAACTATAAGAGTTCCTTTGCCTTTCTTGATAAAAAAAAAAAAAAAAAAAAAAAAAAAAAAAAAAAAAAAAAAAACCTGAGATTGGGTCATATCAGTGTACATATCCCTTGCCTTTTACAGCTCTGAAACTGTATGCTGGGCAGAGGCCAGAACCTCCTGGGGGTAGTAGGTTCTTGGTTTGCTATTTGCACAGGCATTCTATGTATGAACTATTTTACATTTTATGTTTCTCTAGAAGCAGAAAATATATAAAGAAAAAGTATCAGGGGACCTTAAAAATCAAGCCACCTCACTTCTCACTTGAGACCTTCCCATCCCTCCCCTACATCTTTTATCTATAGCCTTGTCCCTCAAAAATTTTCATGGAGCTGAGAAGAGAGAAACAGCAGCCTCATCCCAGAAACCTAAAGCCTTCCCTTTCTTAGGTCCACAGCAAGGCACAGGCCCAGAGAGGAGGCCAAGCAAGCTGAGAATGCTGTTTCACCCAGAAGCAGCCTGGTGCCTGAAGAAACTAAACACAGAACAGATGATGGTGACTTGACCAGAGTGGTACTGATTGCTTCAGAACTGTGCACACTGCTCTTTGGGATTATCTTTGCTTTCCATTTTTTATCACCCTCCCTCTCTATTTTCTTTCCTTTCATTCAATCTCTTCTCAGTCTCCTTTCCTTAAATCTGCTTCTGCTCTTGATCATGATGCTCAAACACCTCTCTTTCATGAAAACTACTTATTTTTAAAACTTTCCTTCTGTCCCTAGAGTCACAACTTAAGTGTTTAAAAACAAAAACAAACAAAAAAACCTTCCTGCTTTGGGGAAAGTTTAAGTTTCTATATTTAAAAAGGTCTTGTTTCTGATAACAGTTATGTTATAAGAAGTTGAAGAAACTGATTGTGTATTTTAGCTTAAGTTGAGGAAAAAATTAAATGCCCTGGATAATTTAGGTGGTTGTTTTTCTACATGTGTCCATTGTGATAGTTTTTACTTTTTCATCAATTTTATAGATCTTCTGTAGGAATTCTCCTATATACCTTTGTCTCACCCATGCATCTACAATAACTCTTGGCAAAAGAGGGATTTCAATTAATATTCACTGGTTAAAAAACAATAGTCTAAAATTGTCTGAATGCTTGACAGTCTGTGCAAGGCCACCACCAATTAAATTACCTTGCATACCCATGGGGGAGGGGGATTCCGATTGAAACAATGATTGCTACCTCGTCGAAGTCAATAAAATGAACTGGCATGAAAGTTCTACCCAACAAAAGCATCTCCTGTTGCTTTTGATGGTGACTGGTCTACTCAATCAAAGTCTAGTTTATATAATTTGATTATGAGACTACAGAGACTTAGCTAGGAAGCTAGTACCCTGTGTGGAACAACTGGAACAGTGAGAATGTAAAAGCCATGAGCTAGAGTCAACAGTTAATTTTTTCTGTGTCTGGTCTCATTGGTTTCCCATCTCAACTGAGACATCATAAGAAAGGAACACCAGAGTAGGGGATATTTGCTATGGGATGCGGACAGAGCACACTAAATCCTCTATGATTGCTAGGGGATTTCTGAAATGGATATTTTTATTTCTTCACCTTTCCACGTATCCTTATAATAATTCTTTATTAGCCAGATTAACAAAAATATGTTGCTATTATTTTCAAATTGGAAAAATAAACAAATCTGAGTAACCCAACATATTACTTAGAAAACCACAAGTTTGCATCTGAATTTACCTGCTCAGTATCCTTTTTCTAGTAACTCTCCTTCCCTCGGTTCTACATTTTTAACTTGGATTTACCTCCATGCTACAACACCCTCAGCTCCTTTGTTCCAAGTTGGGCCACTCAAAATACTAAGTTAGACCAGTCAAAATGCCTTGATCATTGTTAACTGGTTGATAGATGGTCACTCCCACAGAGTCTCTTCCCAGGGATTTTTGTGCATGGGAAAGAAAGAGTTCCTATTAACATTCACTGATGGCTTCTGAGACTGAAAAAAAAAAAGTCCAGAACGGACCCGTGTTTCCTTCTATGTAGGTATGACCAGGCTGCATTGAGAAAGAATGAAGGTGCCGTTTGAAAGGAGCATGAGGGGGCGCCTCGCTGGCTCAGTTGGTGAAGACTGCCTTCCACTCAGGCTCAGGTCATGACCTCGGAATCCAGTCCAGGGATCTGGGATCTAGCCTGTGTCAAGCTCCAGCTCAGTGGGGAGTCTGCTTCTCGTTCTCCTACTGCCCCCTCTCTCCCACTTGTGCTTTTGCCTGCCTTCTCTATCTCAAATAAATAAAATTAAAAATCTTAAAAAAAAAAAAAAGTAGCACACACTCTTTCTGAACGTCTGAAGAATATTCAAGCTTTTTCTGTGGCTTTGTTATTTGAATCCCCCTTTTCTTAAATTAGTTCAATTTCTTATGTGTTACCTGAAACCAGAACACAATGAAATAGTAAAAGGAGTCCAACTTCAGTGAGATCATATAGGCCATCATGACTCTTGAGGAAGAAAACCTTGCTATGGCCCAAATTCTCCAATTTCCCTTCAGATTTTCTCATGCTTTCCTTGGCTAAAGCCATAACCCCAACATAGAGATTCCTTTGGTCTTTGCTACTTCCTCATATAGCACTTCCTAGTTCATGTTTTCCATTCATAATAGAATTCAAGGAGAATCTTGACATCATAAGTGACAGAATGCTACTGGTGGGATAATGCTACTGGTGAGGAACACAGTGATCTCCGAGTTCAATGTTGAATTAGATATATAACTTTGTACCAGAGTCTTATAGTTCACTCCACTCTCCAGCTTGTTTCTAAGACTTCCCTAAAAGATGATTAGAGCTTGCTGCTTTAGCCATTGCTATTGGACATAAATATAAATTTGGGACAAATATCAACGAAGAAAAGAAAACAAAATCTGGTCATAAATCAATTTTCTTCTCCTGAACATTCAAAAATAATATAGGATCCTAATTCTCTGCCCCCTGTCCATCATCGTCTTCATCATCATCTTTCTAAGTTATTTTGTGATCACAAGCAATTCACTTCATATACCTGAGCCCTTTGCCTCATCTTTAGAGGAAGGAATTGCTAGGTCCCAAATCTAAGGCTTCATGAATCTATGATGTACTGATCACCTACGAAGTACAAGTCATAATTTTCACAGACTTCAATGGTTTCTTATATTCCTTCCTCCTTGTCCCCACTTATCCACTTCTTCATCTGGAGCACCAATACAACTACAGCCTTAGGAAATATTCAAATAAGCTCACTACATTACTGTGAAGTGCTCAAGACTTTAGACTTTCCTATTTCAGGCAAAACGAAATTTTGGTAAATGCCAATCAGATTCAGTATTATGACGATGAAGCAGATGATAGATGTAGTACTGGTAGTATTTTTTAACTGGTTTTATTAACTAGTAATTAAAATAAAATCTTAACCCTCAGAGTTCTGAAATTCTCTGATATTTTTGGTAATGTTCAATGTGTTAAAGCTAAAAAAAGCTTTAAAAGTTCAAACTTTTTTTTTTTAAATGGTGACTATACCGTAACTAAAGAAATGTTTTTGTTATTACCTTAGTGAATTTAACATCCAAAGAGGACCTCCCTGAGAATATTTTTATTTTGGTTAGTAAGTGTTATTTTCTGTCTATGTGTGTGATTAAGCCTTAATTTTTTAAGTGCTAAGGAGGAGGAACTGAACATAAATAAATTAAATGTGTGTTGCTTTTATGTTCATTCACCAGTATCTGTCCAAGTTCTTACAGACATTTTTTGGTTTGTGGTTGAAATTGCAAACCAATTTCAGCCCTGTGGACAGAGTAGTCTTTTCCAACAAAGTTATGCAAAAATGATTTTCCTAGTGAAACCTTTTCCTGTTGTGTATCTGCTTTATATATCTTCTTAAACTAAGTTCTTATGTCCCACATAGCTTTTTCTACTGTTTTGTAAATTTTTAGATAAAGTAAAACTTCAGTAACAGTTGCCAATTGTAAACTAAGAAGAAAAAGGACATTTCTATTTTTGCATGTTTATATATTTATAAATGAGTTAACTA